AGTGAATGTTTGACAATTCTATTTCAATCTATGCTTTTTCTTGTTAAATGGATAGAGGGAATGTTATTCACATCCAATACTTCTTAGCTATTGCTGGCATGCGATAAGATTATTACAAATATATAAAATCATTTTCTTTATCCCCTAGTTTAGGTGCAATAAATTTATATCGATCTAGATGAGGTTTTGACTTAATATGTTTGAGTTCTCTTACTGGGGCTTTTTTTTCGTTTATGGATGTCTTTTGTAGGTTGAGAATCAGTCTGGATTATCAAATTTTATTCCTGTCCTAATTGGAGACAAGGAAGTTTGTTCTGAGATGAAGTCAATACAGAAGAGGTTTGATGCATCTCTTTTTCGGGGAGGATCAAAAATGTCTGCAACTGGGTCATTGTTTGAGGCATGCGAAGCTTCAAGTTTGCGACAAAGAACTTATTCTGAACTCGTTTTAGATATAGCATGGTTATTGAGGGAGCCTAAATTGGAAAATTTTCAAGAGATGATACCCTCTTCTCAAATTCAAAGATTCAATTGTTTATTGAGTTTTCTCATACACAATGAATCAACAGTCATTTTGAAGAAAGTATTACAAAATCTGAAGATTGTGGTGGAGAAGACTGGGTTTAATGGAGCTAATGATTCTGACATAAGATTATTCCAGAAACATATGGATTATGCTCGAGACATCCTTATTATCAAACTTCAGAAAGGTGAAAGTCCAGTGCTGCTTTCGGAGTACATCGAGCGAGAAAGAAATTGGTGTTTGCAGAGCAGCTTTAAAGATGATGAGCTATCAGTTGTTCCAAATGCTCTTCAGGTGAGAACTGAATTTTGGTAAATAAGCCAATTTTATTTTCTTGTTTTGTATGTTCTAAATAAGGTACAATGGTTTTGTATGATCCATGTAGCATGTACCATGTCTGTGGAGCAGTGTTTGCCTGTTGTTATTTTCTTCCTTTTTGCCAATCCTCTTTAATTTTGTCTCTCCTTAAACCTTTCTTTTTTTTCTTTTTTCCAAGCTTGTCTCCCTAAAACTATTCTTTTTCATTCTGTGAGCTATACACACTTGTCCAAAATCCACTTTGTTCTTTGATGGTTGGCTGTTGCACTTTCTGCACTCCTCCCTCTCTTTTCCTCTTTATCCAAGTTTACGATCTTTTTCTTTATTCTGGCCATGAAAGAAATGTAGTAGTGTTTTGTGTGGAGCATATTTAATGTTTCCCTATCTTTAGAAATTTCTGCCATAGCGTCTGCTATGTATAAATATTTGAGACATGTCAAAACTTCTCTAGTGTGCAACAAATTTGGTGTCATGCTTTATGAGATTTTGAGCATTATGGTGTCTTAATGCATAAAAAGCGTTTTACTCTGTGTCAACCAGGGAATAAATATATTTCATTACAAAACATATCGTCAAGGAGAATATTAAAGGGATTTGGAAACCTCTTGAGGTCATTTTATTTATCATTTTACATATTATACTTAATTCCATGCATATAAAGATGTTTTATTTGCAGGACTTGGAGGGAAGAACAAATGGTAAATTACGAGCAATGATGGCATCAACTAGTTTCACTAGAAGTGAGACTCTTCCGCTTTTAAAAAGAGAAATAATCATGAATGTGAACCTTAGAAAGGAGTGCCCAAGAAAATCATGTAGTCCCATTTTCGCCACCACAACATTGAGATCTCGTCCTGCTGTATTGGTACTTGCTGCTGCCGCTCTATGCTTGGGGATGTGTGCAATCTTTTTCCACCCTAACAAAGTTGGTGAGTTTGCAGTAACAATACGGAGGTGTTTGTTCGACAGGGTTGTAGATGTTGAATAAGGCCTTTGAACCAAATAAGTGCCATGGATCTTCTCGTATGTAAATATATAATGTATGTTACGTTTGATGAAATCAGGCTGTCGGAATCTTCAGCATGTGAATGTACTCCCCGGTTTTGAATTTGATTTCTTCGATTTATTTGACCTCTGTTTCCTCAATCCAAGTGCATCTGAGAAAATGGGCAATCTAGAATTTGTAGAAGTATAAATGGCAACAAGCAGGATGTTGAATGTAAGACTGAGGGACCTCAGCTGTTGTAAATCTTAAATCTACAGTTGTTAAGCAGTTTTAGTGTGTTTGTAGTTCCCTGTATTATTTTGTTATTTTCCATTGGTTGGCTCTCAAAGCATTATCCATGTACAGAAATTTTTTTTTTCGGCAAGTTATTTTTCGCTTACGAAACAAAGTCTAAATCAATATCCAGCTTCTCAAACTTGCCTACAACAGTGCCTACAATCCTGGTCTTGTTATTTGGTTAAAAACAGGAAAGAAAGACGAAACACAACAGAACAGAAAGGTGTTGCTACAAGCCGGTCTTGCAGAGGAATCGATAGGATTAAAGGCAAAGAAGACGACGATGAAAGATGAAACCGACAATAATAACTGTAAGATCGCAAGAGCATGAACTGCGATACACGTCGGAATGTTCCTAGTTTCCTATGAGCAGCAGCCAATTACGATCCATGGACCATGGCCATCACACCAGTTCAAACCAAACAGTCCGACCCCAAAACTTGAACGCTATCTGGCATTCAATTCTGTACTGGGCAGTTCCGTTAGCTCCATCCCTCTCCTTATGAAAAGTAGCCATATCTCCAGACCTTCGCATTTCTACATATAAAACAGGTTTTGGATGAGAACAATTCAATTTCGTGGAGCTTTCCCTGGGGAAACTCTTAAACTGCCGTAGAAAAGGGGTTGGGGTTTCCCAAACCTTCCCTTAACATGGGTTTTCTCTTTAATCAAACTTAGAATGGAAAGAGAGCTTGGATTGAGCTTCAATTTATTGTACTAGTTTTTACTTGTTATCCCCGGCAACAATGCACTGCCAAGGTTTCACTGAAATTTTCTTAACTTTTACTTCCATGGATTGGAGTGGTTGTTCACCCGTCACCATGCAATAAGATTGGCGAAATCTGAATAAACAAACAAATATTACATACTAAATCATACAGATGAGCCACGAGGAAAATTGGCAAAAAAAGACAAGGTTGGTCGAGATTTGGCAAAATGCAAACCCCAAGTTGAGGAAATAGAAGCTATGGTTTGCGTAGGCTCTGACTCAGATTGACAAAGCCATGTCTGGGAAAACAATTGCTTTTAAGTCAGATACAACTAGCTTCCTAACTTTCTTTTTTAACGTATGTTGCTTCCTGTTTGTTGATTGAAATCTTGTCCTTTTGTTCGAAATGAGACTTCCCCAAACATAAATTTAATCTAATTCCTTTGATTCTTGATTTAATCATGTGGCAACAAAACTTTAGGTTTTGCTGCCTTAATGATTATTTGTCGGCAGTCTAGGTAGTTGTCTATCAATAAAGAAAACAAGGGTAATTATTAATAATTGTGATTAAATAAGTTAAAAAAAGGGTTAAAGTTAAACTTATAATAATAACCCTAATCTTTTGCCATCATAATCAATAGGGAGGCAATGTATGTACACTAGAGAGTGACAGCACAAGTTGCAACAATTATGAATACATGACAAATTTTGAGATACAACAAAAGTTTTTGTCACTTGTAGTTTAAGCTTAAGGCTGGTTAATATGATTAAGCCTATCTCATGTACTACCTTGTTTCTTTCTTGAACACCCAACCACATTAATTAGATACATCAGATATGTTACCATCACATAAACACAGATACCAAACTTTATCATTGTACTAACATTTTTATGATGTGATACATAACCTTCTAAGACCCCCTTTTTTTTTTTTAATAAAAGAACTTAAACATTAATTACAATAAAAAATCTTTGGATAAACTGCAAAATAAATGTCCATTATTGAAAATTAAAGAGGATTAAGTTTGATTTTTTGACTCTCTTTTCAATAAAATTAAGGTTCTGTTTGGTAAAAAGGAAAATTATTTTCAAAAAAAGTTTTCATAAATTTTGACTATTTGGAATTAAAAAAATAATTTTTTTATAAAAAATATTTTACGAGTTAACGGAAAAAAATCATGTAAAATGTCTTGTACTCCATAAATAATAAAAGTTAATGGGAAATTTTTAGTTAGACTGCCTCTCTTTCCTAAATTGTGCTCAACCCTTTTTCAAACAAAAAAAAAATATCAAAGCATATTAGTCAAATTAGTTGGAAAAAATTCAACTAAATGGCAAATGGATTTGGGACCACATCTGCTAATCATAGATCATTAGTAGGTGTACGACATTAATTATGCCCTTAACAAATATCTAGTGTGGAAGTTACTTAATTATCCTCTAATTACATTTAAACAGCAATTACCCTTTTTTTTCTTTTGGATATAGGCATTCTTTTGATTTGTTTACTAAAAATGGTTAATGTTAATCTGGTAATAATTTTTTTTACCGTTTTCTTAATACCAATAACTTTTAAACAACTAATAACATAATTTTTTGACTTAATTTATCAAAATCAAAATTTTTATTGTAATTTCCATAAAAGTTTTTAAAAAATACACATATTTAAAGATGAAAAGTATATATATAAAAGATTTCGATAAAGATAGAAACGAGCAATTTTAGTCTAACACGAAAATGATTACGATATATGCCTACCAATGCTTTCATTTGACCGATTGATTTTTAAGTTCATTTATGAAGTTATAATACAAAGCAAATTGCATCAGCAAGGTCCATTAGAATTTTTGCGGCTGCTCCATCTATTTGATGAATATGTAATGAAGATAAAGCTGTTCCATACTTACAATGCACCACGTCAGTGACAGCTTCGTTCTCACATGGAAATCCAGCCCTTTGCCAATCTGCCAATGGAGGGCTGAGCTTCCTATGACTCACTCTTCAATCATTGGCAAGAAGACAAATATTCTATTAAACATCACGCCAATGATAAAAATTTTTCTGTGTGATGACAGAAAAGGGTCAAGGAAGAAAGCCACGGATGGCCATTTACTTGTCTAAATAGTTAAATAAAAATATCTACATGTCGAAAAGTGTGAAAAATCTTGAACGGGTGATGTCTATATAAAGCTCATCTTCAAACCTTGCTTTCACTCACACCTTGGCTGCTACTTCGTCTGTCTGTCTCTCTTTTGGCTTTCTTTTTCTGCTTGGACTCCAGGGTTGTGAACTACAAGGGGAGAGAGAGATGGCAATTGGGCAGTTGAAAGATGTTGAAACAGGTGAAACTAATGGCCTTGAAGATTTAGAGAAGCCATTGATTGTTGAAGAGCAAAAGGTTGTTGGTAGTGATGAAAGTGGATCCATTTGGATGGCTTTGATATGCACATTTGTTGCTGTCTGTGGTTCTTTTGAATTCGGATCTTGTGTAAGTACCTTTACTTCTCTGAAACTTCATATCTGTTTTGTCATTAAAGCTTTCAGAACCAAGTTTTCTGTTTCTTTTCTCTTCTTTTTTCTTTCACCTTCATCAGTTTGAGGTAGCTCCTGGTTTAAACAAAGTTCCTGGTTACTAAAGTGTTTTTCTTTTTTCCTTTGTGTTTTTGTTTTTGTCTTTGGTTAGGAGCCAAAAACTAGAAAATGAACAAAAAACCAACCAAAAAAACAAAAGGTTTGTTTAGCTTAAGTTAATTCTTTTGGCAGGTGGGCTATTCAGCACCCACTCAATCTGCTATCAGGGAAGATCTTAATCTATCTCTAGCTGAGGTTGGCCTTCTATTTCTCTTTCCATTCTTGACTAATGCTTCCATATTACATAAGGAGTCATTAACCTGTTATCAGAATTTCAGTTCTCAATGTTTGGCTCTATCTTAACAATTGGTGCAATGCTTGGTGCTGTCACTAGTGGTCGGATTGCAGACCTCATTGGTCGAAAAGGGGTATGTTAAAAGTTTCAGAATATAATTGAAATGAAGCAAGAGTTTTTAAATTGGTTATCTCCATTACACTAAACTTCCTGGAATCTTCATGGAGTCAGGCAATGAGACTGTCAGCTGCTTTCTGCATTACTGGATGGCTTGCTGTATATTTCTCTAAGGTATGCACTTGTTGCTCATCTCAGACTACTCCAGATTTTGGCAAAACCATCGGAAAATTTTGATAAAGTAACTACATTTGCATGTCTCCTAATGCAGGGGGCGCTGTCACTGGATATTGGAAGGTTTTCCACTGGATATGGAATTGGAGTTTTCTCCTATGTGGTAATTTCTCTGAAAAAACTATGTAGTTCTTGATAGAGTACTGATAACTGATAAGTAATGTTTTAATAAATTTACCAACTAAATGAACAGGTTCCAATCTTCATAGCCGAGATAGCACCAAAGAATCTCCGTGGAGGACTCGCAACATTGAATCAGGTAAGAGCCTGGAAGAATCATAAGACTTGTGAATAATGGTTAGCAGTGTGGTCTCTGTCTTTACCCTTCTCACTTTCTTTTCCTTGCAGCTCATGATTGTTACTGGTTCATCAGTTGCATTTTTAATGGGAACAATCATACCATGGAGGACACTGGCTCTGACTGGTAATCCTAATTATTCTTTAAATTTGTAAATATACCAAGGTTCTTTACCTAAATTATCAAAGAAATTAATCACAATCAAAAGCCAAAGAGAAGATTATTAGACTTATTGTTGGTATTATTTTTGAAGGACTTGTGCCATGCACTTTCCTGCTTGTTGGTCTCTGTTTCATTCCTGAATCTCCTAGATGGCTGGTAAGCATTTCAATAGATACTACTTCCCCACTTTCTATAAACAAAATAAAAGCACGACATGACTGCTGAAAATTACCGATGACAGGCAAAGGTTGGCCTCAGTAAAGAATTTCAGGCTGCTTTACGAAGACTTCGTGGCAAAGATGCTGATATCACTCAAGAAGCTGCAGATATTCAAGTATTTACCTTCAATTATAGACTACTGAAAAATCACTAGTACCAAGTCGATATACATGTAAGAGCTGTGCCCATTATTTTGGTGTCTCAACAGGTATACATTGAAACTCTTCAAAGCCTTCCAAAAACTACAATATTGGACTTGTTTCAACAAAAATACTTTGGTTCAGTGATTGTGAGTTACTCCTTTCTTGACATCTGATGAATTAAAGATTCTTGCTTTAGAGGTTTCTGATACAACTTTTCTGTATGATGTTCAGATTGGAGTTGCATTAATGGTATTCCAACAGTTTGGAGGAATCAATGGAATAACCTTCTATGCAAGTGAAACCTTTGCATCAGCTGGTAAACAATAGAGTCTAGGCACCTTATTTCAATGCCTGTTTGTCATTAGACTTCCATATTGAAACTCAAAACTCTATAAACAAATTGCAGGCCTTTCTTCAGGAAAAACTGGAACCATAGCTTATGCTTGTGTTCAGGTAATTACTTTCTGTCATTCTGATAAAATAAAAAATCAATGAAAATTCTTTTTCCTTTCTTAACTCAGCCATCTGGAAATAAATTTTATAGGTCCCTATAACTATTGCTGGAGCAATGTTAATGGACAGGTCAGGAAGGAGACCACTCATAATGGTAAAAAGTCATCCCATCATTTTTTGGTTTTCTTCTTACCTCTCCAATTTTGAAGGGAATTTGGTGTGAGAACATGTGCTTTTTCCATATGCAGGTGTCTGCCACTGGCACTTTTCTTGGCTGCTTTCTTGCTGGCACTTCTTTCTATCTCAAGGTAAGTCATAATAATTGTCTATCTGAGAAATGATCTTTTGTCCAGCCCTTCCGGTTTCAGTTGTTCAACCTGTTCAATGATTTATGAATCAGGACCACAATCTTTTGCCTGAATGGGTGCCAATATTAGCTGTTGGTGGAGTATTGGTAAGTAATATGTCTAACACCTTCTTACTATTTGTTTGCCCCTTTTTCACTCTAATTTTCATATTTCTTCCAATGTTATCAGATTTATATAGCATCTTTCTCAATTGGAATGGGAGCAGTTCCTTGGGTAATTATGTCTGAGGTGAGCTGGGGTCCTCTTAATCTTGTTTACTTATAAACCAGATAAAGGCATAAGGAATTGATTAGGATTCCGGAAAGGACAGTGCAGAATTAAACTGAAAACCTATTGTTTTGGGTGTGCCCAGATTTTCCCCATAAATGTCAAGGGAGTTGCGGGCAGCTTGGTGGTCCTGGTGAACTGGCTAGGTGCTTGGGCAGTCTCCTACACATTCAACTTTCTCATGAGCTGGAGCCCCTCAGGTGGATAAAACAAGAACCTGGAAACTGTTTCAGAACTAAACTATGATTCTCTCTTAACATGTTTGGTTTGTGTCATTTTCAGGCACCTTTTTTGTCTACTCCGGATTCTCTGTGATGACTGTCCTATTCGTGGCAAAGTTTGTCCCAGAAACCAAAGGGAAAACACTGGAGGAAATCCAGGCATCCATCAATTCATAGAGGGGCAAAAGCAATCCACTGGTTCAAAGCTTATAATACATAAATATCTGCAGAAGATGCCGAAATTTCCAAGTCATAACACCGCATGAATTGATGGTTCGACCCAGTACTCCACTCTTCTGGACTACCAATGGATGTGATGGAGAGTTTTTCTGGATAAAGGATCATGCAGCTCTAGGCAGTGGTCCTTAGCTCATTTTGCCTTTGTTTATTCAATTCTAGGGTAGGATAGATATAGAATAGATTCTTCTCATGTTACGTAATAAGCTCCAAGCATAGCAAGCTAACATGAATGAAGCATTGCTTTGTTAGAATCACTCCTGGAGTAGACCTATCCATGGGCCGGGTGGCTCGTTGGCCCTATGGGCCTAATCCAATCCAGTCCAGCCTTGGATTAAATTTTTAAAACCCAAATTCAATTTAATTCGAGATATTATCATATTAATAAATTATTTTACTTAATATTAATTTTTAAATGAACGGATTGGACTGATTCTTAAATAAAATTTTAAAATTGTCAATGGAAGTCAATTTTGAAAAGTAATGTTCAAATTCAATATTTAAAATTAACACGTAATTAAACTATCTAAATTTTAAATTTCGCTTGAGTAATTTAACTAATTAATGAATTAAACTAGGTCAAAACCTTTTGACCATAATATATTTACACTATTAATTATCAATTTATCACCCTAAAACATCAAAAACAAGAAAAAAAAAGTTGTAAACCTTAAAACGCACCGTTTGGATCACTTGCTAGTTGTTTTTGCAAATTAGAAAATGCGCGGAGACCAATCTGAGAGTACTTTTGTTGTCACGACGCGCGTGATTGCACGACACATGATCATGATCCAACACGTGTAACTTTGTCTTCCAATGAACCGTACTTGTCGCTTATACTTCTCCGAAGGGGCCTAGGAAGAGTCTTTTTTCGTACGCAAAAATGGAAATAATAATAATAATAATAATAATAATAAAAACACAAAGCGAGTATATAAAGGACACTTGGATCAATCAACCCTCTTTAGATCGGCTCTTCCGCTGGCAAACTCAAGGAGGAGGTAAGACACGAAATTTGTTACTTTGTTTTTTTTTTTTCTGTTTGGTTGCTGAGAAATTGGAGGAAATCAAGGAACTTGAAAAGCTGAGTGACTGTTTCATTCAAAAGAAAAGAAGCTGACGGTTTGATTTGAATACTTCTCTTTTATCTTGTATTTTTCACTGTTTTGTTTGACTGGACTGATATCAATTCTCTTCCTTTTCTTAATTTGATCAGAAAAAGTTTGTGTTTATTTGTTTAGCTATGATTTCCAAGGTTGAAACTTATCACTTTCCTCTTGTTTTTCTCAGCATCCAAACAGATTTTTTTCCTTAGATATTCAGTTTTGCGATGTTATTTGAATTGGAGCTTTCTCCAAAGCTTCATTTTTGGGGGGAAGTTATTAGTGTTACTTTTCACTGTTAAAAAAAATTCAATCCTACAAAGCTTCATTTTAATTAGTCTTATCACTTATGTGGCTCTAAATGCAGATAATTTGAATGTTAATGCAGCAAAGTACTTGTAAATTTTGGGAACAAAGGATGATTTTTTCTTTTTTAATTTGTTTGTGTTGTTGAAGAGCTTGAATTATGACATTTTAAGTAAAACTGTCTCTATTTGCAGGATCGACAAAGGAGAGAACTAAGTTGCAGATTTTACAGTGATATGAAAGATTGCTTGGGTTTTACATTAAGTGGAAATTGTATATTTGGTTTTATTTATATAGTTAGTGTACATAATGAGTAGGCTTCGGAAGGATGTTAATGCTTGTAATGAAGGGAATGCCCTTAGTAAAACTTGTGCAAGACAAGGTTGTAGTGAGAATTCTGGTTACCTCGATCAGGATATTTTTCAACTCACAAACCTTAGATCAGGACCCTGTGACCTTTTGTCCCGGGGTGTGCCTGGCAGGATGAAACTACCTATTTCTACATTGAAAATGTTGGTTGGGCGAGAGGGTAATTTTACGGGAAGAGGTAGATTTACATCAGCTGATAGTTGTCATGTTTTAAGTCGGTATCTGCCTGTCAATGGTCCCTGGTGGGTGGACCGGGTGCAAAGTCGAGCATATGTTTCTCAGTTTTCAGCCGATGGTTCTCTTTTTGTTGCTGGATTCCAGGTCTTGTTTCATTCCCTTGGGCTACAAATGGAATAGTGATCACTTGTATAGTTGTTTCACTCACTGGTTATTTGGCTTTGCTTAATGTGAGTGCTCATTATCTTATTGTTTGACTGATTTTACTCATTTCCTTGAGGCAGAGAAGCCACATTAGGATATATAATGTGGACAGTGGATGGAAAGTTAAGAAGGACATCATGGCTAAAAGCTTGAGATGGACAATTACTGATACCTCTCTTTCACCAGATCAACGTTTTCTTGTAAGTTTGTTGCTATTGTTTGTTGAGTTAAATTTTTTAGTTACTGGTATTCTTTCATCATTTTGTCCCCCTCCCCACTTTCTTTTGGTTCCATTTCATTTAACTTGATTGCTATTATTGCAGGTGTATGCTAGTTTATCCCCTATTGTCCACATTGTGAATGTTGGATCTACTGCAACAGAGTCAGTTGCAAACATTACAGTATGTTCTAAAAGTGCTACTAACTTCAAAATTTATTCTTTGTAGGCATATTGACTAGTTTAAGTCTTATTGCAAATGAATATGCTCAATGTTGCCAAATAAAATGAGCTCTGCTCTGTAACCTTAGATGTCAGTAAATGGTTATGAAGCTTATGAACTAAAGAAAATGCCGTTCTGCTTCCAGAAATGGATTAGGTAATCATTACATTGGATGGTCTGAGAGAAATATTTAATCTGCTTCATTCTCAAGAGCATCTTTAAGCGCAAAAAATTGGGGGTGAGGGACTTTGTATTGCTAATTGCTATGACAAAGTCAATTAATACCAGCTGCAAGTCATATCATCCATTTTGAGTTGTTGCTTTTGGTTCTAAATTAATACTAGGTCTTTTCTGATGCAGGAAATTCATGACGGTTTGGATTTTGCTGGTGATGATTATGATGATGATGTTGGATTGGGGATCTTCTCTGTGAAATTTTCCACTGATGGAAGAGAGCTTGTAGCTGCAAGCAATGATAATTCTATACATGTTTATGATCTTGAGGCAAAAAGGCCTAGCCTCCTAATCCCAGCTCACAAGGTATCACAATTAATTGTCATGCCAACACATTGTTAAAGTCTTTTCCTTAAGTGCAGGGCATCCCAACTTCCGGTGATTATCTTAGTATAAAATTTGGCTTCATTGAATAGATGAATATCAAACTTGAGGATGTTTAGAGATACTAAAGTCTATTCCCAATTTCTCTTGCAGTCTGATGTCAACACTGTGTGCTTTGCGGACGAAACTGGGCATCTCTTATTTTCTGGCAGTGACGATCATCTTTGTAAGGTAAATTTATATGTTTGTCGCGTTGAAGATTCATGTAATGTTGATCCCAACTTTCAACAATTATCTTAGATATGCTAATTTGGCGTTGGTTGAAATCAAAGTGGCATTAATCTCTTGCCGATCATCTTGTATAACAAAGAAAGCCCGCCCTTTTTTATTGGCTTGAGCAGGTGTGGGACAGGCGTTGCTTTGTCACTAAAGGAAAAGCAGCTGGGGTCTTGATGGGACACCTAGAAGGCATTACATTCATTGATAGCCGTGGAGATGGCCGTTATTTTATTTCAAATGGAAAAGATCAGACCACCAAACTCTGGGATATACGAAAGATGGCCTCCAATGCTACATAGTAAATTTATATTAACTCTCTTTTCTACCTCTTGAACTTTTTGGCATTAATTCTTGAAGTTCATGATATTTTCTTTTTTTTATTTGATATATAAATCATATTAGTGAAATATTGATTTTAGTAATTATTCAGTAGTATCAGCTTTGAGCTTACAACTATGCTCAAATTTATAATGGTTAAAGGCTCTGGTCTTTTTTGCCAATGCTTTCTGTATTTCTTACCACTAATATTTATTTCTTTAAACAGCACTCCAAGGCGAAGAGATCCTGACTGGGACTACAGATGGATGGATTACCCAACGCATGTACGGGCCTTGAAACATCCCCATGATCAGTCAATAGCAACATACAGAGGCCATTCAGTGTTGCTCACTTTGATTCGTTGTTACTTCTCTCCATCGTATAGGTAATCTCATATAGGCATGCCATGGTTGGGTTGTGCTTCATTAGAAATGCTTGCTTGTCTAACTTTCTGAAGACTTGGGCTATACTTATACCTTTTCTGAAATCTCAGTCTGAATCCAGCCAGCTGAAAACCTTTCCTGAGGTCACATGGTTTGATCTCTTTTCTTTCATTAAGACTGGGCTTTAGCTATAATCTCACATTTAACCTCCACATTGCATTTCAACATTTTACGTTAAGTGGCTTGGTATGTGTATCACACAACTTAAGTTTGCCTCATGACTTTGCTGGCCAAATTTGGGTAGTCATTCCGAGTTTCTGACCCCCTTCTCTCATTTCAAGTTTTCCAAATTCTGCTAGCTTTTATCAACAACATCTGTTTGAGTTGAGTTGCTGGAAGAACTAGACTGTCTGGTTATTAACTTTTTCTGGTTCAGGGTTTGCATTTACCCTTGAGATTGTGCATTCAATTAGCAGGCCTTTACAATATTTTCTAACTTTGCAAATCACATTTTGCAGCACTGGTCAAAAGTACATTTACACTGGCTCTAGTGATGGTTCTCTTTTTATATATGATCTGGTAAGCATCCCATTTCATCATTCCTTCTCCCAACCAATTTATGTAAGTTACTCCTTCGTTCTCTTCGTTTCCCCCCCTGAAAAAGTTGATCAGTTGGATGAAAGATACGGATGGAATGCTAAGCTGGCTTCGGAATCTATACTGAAGTTCATACTTTAGATCTCCTTTCTGTCGTGCTCTGTAAAATTTGCCTATGGGATTGTATTGTTTGCTTAGTTCATGGTGTTCCAATCATTTCTATGCTGTCCCCTGCCATGGAACCTATCTGAGCTCAGCTAGACACCCTTTCCTTTGCCATTATCTCAAAGCAAGTTTTAACTAGGCTATTCTTTGTAGGTGAGTGGAGCTCAAGTTGCGAGTCATCACCATCACAAAGCTCCAGTGAGAGATTGTAGTTGGCATCCGTTCTATCCAATGATGATCACGTCCTCCTGGGACGGTGTCATTGCCAGATGGGAATTTCCCGGCGGCAATGAAGAGCCCTCACGATGGGAGCCGAATCATAGAAGACCCTACTTTTGAAAATCTCTATTGGTTCTGCAAATACAGGTTAGATACTTTGCAAGTTTATTAAGCCTCTCTCCTGCCTCAAAGAGTGCAACAGTTTGTATAGGTAAATTCATAGAGGTTTTGCTTAATTTGAATTCAGCATTGCAGAAACGGCTGGAAATAGGCCATGGTAAAATTGTGTGAAAAAACCATTTTGTTTGACCACAAATGTATCTAGTTCAGCTCTTTTGCTGCTTCTATTTTCACGTCTTTCATGTTGCTATTATTTCTTGCGGGTCGGATCCTAACCTCAAACATTTGTGCTCAAAGAATTGACTTGACTTTCAAAAATTTAGCAGGATACCCCGTTACTTGTTAGATATCTTGACTCGAATCTTAACATAGGATAGCACTTTATGTTTGATTAAATTTTTGAATTGTTATTTGAATTCATATTCAACATTTTTAAATATTATATACAAAATTAAAATTTAATATTAATAATTATTATTTATAATCATATTTGAATAATGAATATATGAATTCAAATTTTATAAAAAATTGTGAGGTCTAATAATTTTTGAGTAAAATATTTCATTTTTCAAGTTTTTGAAATGAACATTTCTTTTTGAAAAAATATATATTTCGTTGAACTTATGTGTCCAATCATTAATTAATGATTAGTGTTTTTGCATAATCATATTAAAATGATAATTTTATTTTTTATTAATTTAAAAAAATAAAAAAAATAAATATAGATGCTCTCAAAGGGAGATCGGTTCTCCCTGCACTTATTTCTTTTTTGTCAAAAAATATAATAATTTTTAGATTAATAAAAAAAAGTAATTTAATTTAATTTTTTTGATAAAATGTTTGTTTTAAAATTTAATAAATTCACCTAAAATTTTGATTAAAATTTAAAAAAAAGGTATTTTGCCCATAATTTTATTATCTAAATTTTTGTCAATCTGATTATGAATACCTTAATTGGCCGCAAAAGGCAAGATCGAGATCCCTATTTAACATCATTGTTTAATCACACAAAACCATGGATCGATATAAGCCATTGGAAACGACACTCAAATTTACTACAGGCTTCGACATCTGGGGGAATTCCAAAGCCCACGTGGCATCACCTCCTGCGTCGGTGCATTATCTCCCGCTGATTGATTTTTTCGTTCGTTCTGTCATTGCTCCTGTTGTGCTCTTCACTATCTAGAGAAATCTTCTCTCAAGGAAAACAATCCAATCAAATCAATGGCTTCACCAACGGCTAAGATCGCATTCCGCATAGTAATAGGGGTTCTCCTCGTGCTGGCTCTCTTCTACGTCGGCCGTCCTCTTTACTGGAAAATCTCCGCCACCGTCCACGACATCCGCCACAACAAGCAAACCGTTCAACAAGGCAAAAACCTACTTTTAAAAAAGCCTTCTGTTTCTCTTATTTCAATTTGTGCTTCAATTTCTGATGCTGTGTAAAAAACCCAGTTTTGCATGACAATCTTAGTCCGTGCTTTTGATTTCTGGCATTGTTGTTTGTGTTGGGTTTGTCCAGGTATCTCACAGATTATGCATGAGGCCCAGAAATCCGTGGGGTGGTTTCATGATGAATCCGACTCGGGGGTCCCTGAAGATCGCAAACAGGCTTCAAGGAGATTGCTTTTCAAGGTCTTGTGATGGGATTTTGTTGTTTGATTCCTCAATTTTATAGAGTTATTGTTAACTTGTTATGTTAGTCAATGGCGTAGATCTGAGTTGCTACTTTGGTGATTAATAATTTTAGGTTGGTTTAGTTCAAGTAAAGTTACTAGAATGCTTTGTTGCTGTTATAAATTGAAGGGTTTGTTTTTGTCTGTGTTTAGAGTAAGTGTAAGAGTTCTTCATTTTTGTGATTAAGTAGAGTTGTACTGTTTTTGATGCATACAATTATAATGGGTTTCAATGATGCTGTAACCAGAATTGTAAATGAGATGATTACTCTTTAGACTTTTACTTCTGTCAAGTGTTGGAAATTTTGGCTTATGGTGATTGAATCTTTCTTTATTACTCCATGAAATGAATCCTTTTCCCATATCAATCACATATTGATGAAATGATCTCTTCTTTGAGGACTTAAAATGTTAGTTTTTTCCGAAATTCGATATCTCACAGCTAGATTACCGAGTCTTGTTCTGTTCAGAAGGAAGTGTCTGATTATCAGCAGCACCAGAAGAACTTGTTGTGCGGTTTCATCGTCATTAAACACATCAAACTTCAGGACTAGTCTCCTACCATTGGCAAATCATATGTGTATCACTCTTGTTGTTTGATGTCTTTTTACTGCTTGATTCCAGTGAACAATCTCATATCCATTGTTTCAGTGTTTATGTCAATTGAAACTTTACTCTTGACTACATTCCAAAGGCAATACCAAACCGTTCAACTAGGTTTATATCAGTTGTGTCAGAGTTTATTCATTTTCCCTGTAATCAGCCTAAAATCTCCTAGAGTTGGAAGTCATTCAACAAGGTTATAATCCAAACTCTCATCAGTTTTAGCCGAAGCATCCCCAATGCAAGCAAATTATGAATCTTGCTAGCAAATCAGTATTGAATCACTGGGCTATCAAGCCTAGCAAATGCAACTCTTAACCAGTCCTGTTATAGTCCTTTTGGGCTAAGGCTCCCATCTACTTTCCTCAGGTTGAAGTTAAACCCAAGTTTGCTAAGTGGGTGTCGTTTGAGCTATTGGGTTAGCCCAATCAACCATTTCTCCATCGAAGCTATAATTAGCCTTTTGTGATTTGTAAGAATCACCTCCACAAGGACATTTGACCAAAACTTCCAAGTACCAATGATGCAAAGATGAACATAGACTCTGGAATCTTTAGACTTTGGGTGCCCACTCTGAGTTTTTGTTCAATTTCATGATGATTTATGTCGACAAAAATAGAAAAATTCAGAGACAAGAGTATATAAATTTATTGATCTTTGTCGGTGTCTCATGTTTCGACAAATTTCATTGTCTAATCTCTATTCATTGAACTTAAGGAAAACAAAAGGCCGGTTTATAATCATCTTGGAAACAAATATGTGGAACTTGCATGATTTTGACATCAAAATGGAAAACCTAAATTCAAGCAATGACTAAGGCAACCAATGCCCTTTGGCTCCAACCATAGTTTCAACATTCTTGTGCAAAGTAGGCCCTCTCCCCTTTTCTTCTTCTAATACGCAATCAACATGTAAATGGGGAGCAGAGCAACGATTGGCTGAAAAACTTGTAGGTTTCCTTCACATCAACTCTACAATTCCATTGTCAAAGTCAGAAGCAACATTATTGTAGCCCTGGAAAAAACAAAAAAAAAGGCCCAACACCCCTTTCCTACCATCTAGCCCACTCCTTCATACGTACCTGAAGGATCCTTTCACATACGTGACATGGGATTGACAATTGACTTACATCTATTTTAATAATTAAAAACCTAATAATCTGGTGAGAAAAACAATGATGTGAATTTGCAAAAAGTTTTAGATTCAAATTTTTTCATTTTCCAGATAATCGATGCATATATGAAGTTTTTTTATTGTCCCCGAGATTTGATTACTAATATCTCGAGGGGTGATCATATCAATACTAATACATTAAATTTCATTAGAGTTTAACAGTTAAATGTATTTGGATGAAAACAGTAATAAAATAGATGACTTCCCAATAAGTCTTCGTCTTGCACTGCAATTGATCTCATATATTTTCAATCTGTAATCAGTGAAAAGCATGATTACATGTGTTTGACATTAAAGGTTGCATAAGATTCTTAATATCCATATATATTTGTAAATGTGTAGATCCTAGTCAACTAAAGCCCCATTTCTTAATGGCCACACTTGCTGGTGCTTTGATTCTTTGTACCAAGCCATCGAGCTTGAGCTTTGAAAATGGGTTCATTGAGTTGAAATTAATTAAAAAATTTGCTGGCAGGATTGGTGTTTAGCTGGAGAATCCAACACATAGTCAAAGTCAATTATTGTAATCTTCTATCTGTTCATAGTAGAATCTCAAATGCTCTCTATCCAATGGATTGCACAGCTAAGTGTGACATCTTTCTAAGTCTTTGCCGCACACCTTGCGGCCAAACTAGTTGTTCCACAAGAACTCGTATCGTCTCCTTACGTAGATTTATAGTATGATTTTTAAGAAATATTTTTAATTTTTATCTTTAAATTAACTGTAGATATCACGTGATGTAATCGATCAAAATAATCGAGTAAGAATTCCTAAAAGATAATATTCAAAACCTAACTCAAGCCGAGTAGTTCGAACTCGTGAATAAGATTATTTGGAATTATTTTACATGTTAATTAATTTAAAAATTATTTTTTTATTTTCTTAAAATAGAACAAATTTTTATTTTTTTTAAGTTCATTTATCTTTGACTATTAAATGGTTTTCCATGGATCATCTAAAATTCATTTAATATAAATGACTTCCCCTTTTTTTTCAAATATAAATACTACTCCCTCCCCAAAAAAGGTTAAGATTAGGGGGGGATTAGTTAGGTAACTAGACCTTATTATAATTATTCATTGTGTTAGGTTCGGTTTGATTAATGTTTTTATTGATTGTTATTTTTTATTTTATTTTATCATAACTAAACCCTAAACTTAAAGTAGCCTCCCTTCGTATACAAATAATAAAATGTGAAAAGTCAAATTGATCATGAGCAAATAATAACAATTTCATACAATGTTATTATTTAATAAATTGTTTTCTCAAAAAAAAAGAAAGAAGATAAAGTGAATTTTCTTTGGATAAAGGGGGATTTCATTAATTAATATCATAATAAAAGAATCGAAGTTAGAAATACCAAATCAAAAGTATCAAAACCCTAAAAAAGTTAGTGCTTGGGGAGGGTTAGGAAGGAAATGGTCCTGAGGAGAGAACAATGTCCTAAAAAATAAGGAAGAAAAAGATGATGCTGCTAATTAAATTAGTCTAATCATTGAGTTCCCATAGAAACTATAAAGTCTAATTACCTAGAAGAAAAATGGGCAATTTGCTTTAAGTCTTATCCTCAAAGCCCCCTCCCCTCCTCCCCCAAGCTTCTTTCCAAACTCTATGCATTTTTGGGTAGATTCTATATACTTTCCTTGGTGGGGAGGAGGATGTGATTAAGCTACTACCACTAAGTACAAGATTGGTGGCTTCTAATCATTTCTATTCTGTCATGCTTCTTATTTTTAAGTCATTGCTTCCAATCCCTAGCTACATCACAAAAGGCCAGTTA